AAAAAAAAAAAAAAAAAAAAAAAAAAAAAAAAAAAAAAAAAAAAAAAAAAAAAAAAACAGTACTTACATATACCGCCGATACACACACCCACACACACCTGTTAGATTTTTGAAGCGCAAGGCAACGACGGGTGACAGGTAGTCCGACTGGCCGGAGTACGGGAAGAATTGAACCGGGAAACCGGATATGGGCAGGTACTCGAGCTCGCCCATCAACTTGGTGTCCTCCTTGCTTTTGCCCTCGCAGGACAGCCACACGTGGAACTAAAGCGGGACCGATCGATGATTATTAACGCGGTGAGAGACTGCTTTATATGTGATGGGCTATGCCAATCGATGAAAGTGTACTTTTTTTTTTTGTTATTAATAAGGGGTGGACTGGGCTATATGTGCGAGGGACGTTGAACTTGCCGGGGTGGCCAAAAACACGGGGAACAAGTTACGACGACCACTTTGGGGGGGGGGGGGTTCCCACGAGCACGAGTCGTCTCTGTATAATTGGTTCTGCGGAGGGTAGGAGGTGATTAAGTTCATTTGCACTCCGTGGCGTGATTTTTTCCTGTTTTTTCAATATCTAGTCTCTGGACAGGTCTTGGAAAAATTTACTGGCTTCAATTGTTTTTTAAACAGCAGGTGCCACGTGTCTCTTATTTAATCACCTCTCGTTGCGCACTGGCAAATGGACGTTAGATCATCGTAGGTTGCAGTTTTGAGCTTTCGCATGATGACCAAGACAACAACTACGAGACATGCTTATTTCAAAAATTTATCAAAGATTGGTCAATTGGCACCCACTTTGACAGGTGCTCACAACACCCGATGTATGTTTTTTACCAAAGTCTTGTGCTTTTCAATCCTTACATCCTCATGATGAAGTAATAAAAAAAAAAAGAAGGTTTGCACAAGCTGATGTCAATTCCCGTTTATATCCCGAGTTGAAAATGGATAATTTATAAGTTTTACCTTTGTGATGTACACCTACGTACAGCACGTTGTTAAGTATAATAAAATATAATTAAAGAAACATGGTTGTACTTTGTCGGTGCTTTTCACGACTCTCTGTAGCCTCACGGGCATGTTCTCGGGTAGGGCTGAGGCTTGGCTGTAAAAAATGGGCACCCAGTCGAACCTCTGTTGATTAGCGAATGTTCATTATGTATAGATGAAAATTGTTACATCTCAAACAAAAAAAAAAAAAAAAAAAAACAAAAGTAAAAAAAAAAGCATAGACCTTGTTGAATTTGATGTAGACGCAAGGCTGTGGCTTCGACTCCTCGTATCCGTAGGGCGCTCTCGAGCACTGGCCCAGAGTCGCGAGATCGAAAAAACAGGACTTGTCGGCACCGCCTTCGCGCAGTACTCTGTCGTTGCAGCGCGGATCGTACCTCGATTTATCGACTTTGTATTCTGCGGCGCAACACAATTACATCACGTCAAACATTTACGTTACTTTGAAATTACACGCTTCACCTGACAGGGTCTCGTTGATGGCCTTGATGTAGTTCCTCGGTTGACCCAACTCGTTCGATTTGTCGATCAGGATGAGCGGAGGATTCGAATCCAGTCCGATGTTTGGTTTGAAAACGATGCCTTTTCCAACAATTCAGATAAAACCACTTTAATGACAATACGTACGTTATACGTACGGATGAAGGAATATATGATGCGATGGATGAACCTGGTCCGCGCATATTGAGCGACGTCATGCGAAAGACCCGCGAGGGTTCCGACCCCGACTTTGACTCCCGTTTGTTGTATTGGAAGTACGGCTTGTCGTGTATCGTCACGTACTTGTAGGTCAGCCACAGCTGCAACCCGGCGAATGAGAACAGCACTCCGTAGAAGCACAGGTAAAATAGTCCTACTTCGACTATTTCGAATTTATGGAACAAAAGAAAAAAAGACTTTAACGGCTAAAAAAAAAAGTTATGTAGCGTCGCTTGTTGTGAGGTTTTTTGTGAAGCAGAGGTCTATAAAGTTTCGAAACAACGGCATTGAGACAAGGGTGGCAGAAGGGTACCTTTTTTGAAGTGTAACTTCACTGTAAGTATCTTGACGAAAAAGAGAAAAAATAAGGGTTCTAGCCTTTGCTTCTTCTTTTATTACCGGCCATCGCTCTTATCTCGGCCCGTGCCGTTAAGAAGGCTATTTTTTGAAGTGTAACTTCACTGTAAGTATCTTGGCGAAAAAGAGAAAAAAATAAGGGTTCTAGACTTTGCTTCTTCTTTTATTACCGGCCATCGCTCTTATCTCGGCCCGTGCCGTTAAGAAGGCTATTTTTTGAAGTGGTACTTCATTGTAATTATCTTGGCGAAAAAGAGAAAAAAATCAAGGGTTCTAGGCTTTGCTTCTTCATTTATAACCGGCCATCGCTCTTATCTCGACCTATTGCGGTTTAATGAAGGAAAAGATTACACGGATTTATAGGGGCTAGATGTACGGGTGGGTCAAGCTTGTACCTATACGGAAGAATTAGGTAATAGAGTGTACAGGACACGCGCGCTGCTTCGATCGAATCAGGGCTTTTTATTTATTTTTTTAGTTAAGAGAAAAAACGCAACGGTAAATCGAGGTGCGGTGTCGATATAATCGGACTAACCCCATTCTCTGGCTGTTCGGTCGAAGATTGCTTTCCTCTCGGGGTCCCAGACGAAGAGCTTGAAGTTTTGGAGCACACCAAGATCGGGTTTGGGTTTCCTTGCCCTGAAGTAGTTATCGTCGTGCCTTATGACCGGAAGGCTGTTCATTGTGGGGCAATAAATTCCACCGACGCAAATCTCGACAAGCCACTACGTGTATGCCATTGGGTTAACAATTGTTGTGTGCAGCAAACTTCAAGTAAAGATGATAATTCGCCGGATTTTTATGCTTTTGAGAATTTTTTCTGAACATTTATAATGTACTTAACAAGCTTTTGGATAATGAAAAATTTGCAGTTTTCATAACATTTATGGATAGCTGATAAAATCTGGACTATACCATCGGATGTTTACCGCAGTACTAAACTTACTGCCAACAGATTGCGCTACTTGAAACTTTTTTTAAAATATTTATTTTAACGTAAAACTTGTTTAACTGAACAAATTGTAAGTCGATAAAAGACTAATAGGTACTTACTTTCATGAGTTCAATGGCTAAATCGTTGAACATCAATAAATAATAATAATTTGCTTACGAACTAAGGTAAAAGTAACGATAAGGAAAATAAGTTGAATAGAATTAAAATCACAGTTTTAATAACACTAGAAAATATTTATTGTTAATACATAATAAAAAAACTTTGATACTCAAAATCATGTGGGTTTGTTTAAATTTTAAAATTTTGCGCCAGTGTACAGCGCCACCTAGCAGAGCTTTTTCACACTACTAACCTACTCTATACTACATTTCGAGCCATCTTCTCACTTTCACTTATCGAGTGAGCATGAGCGCACACTGCACCGTGCGAGCAGAAAGCAGAATTGTAGAACGGCCCTGTTAAATTGTATTAAAATCCTTCTTGTGCGCGAATTAAAGAAAATACAGTACTTGTATAGCTAACTTTTGTTTGATAAGATAATAAGTGTGTGTCGAGACTGTCGAGTACTTTTCGTGTGCGGGGGCGTACTATACGCTCGACGATCGAGTTTGGCTCGGGATTACTTGTAATATACACTGGGTGAGGGAGATTACAAAGAAAAAAATCTCCACGCCGATTACACTACATATAGTGTGCACATTATTGTATGAAAGTAAGTACAGCACACTATACCTACCTTTATTGTAGTACTGCACATGCATGGCAGAGAGGGTGAAGTGTGAAATCGTAGGCATCTGTTTGAGATACGTAAGTATTCGTTGTGCTAATGTGAGTTTATTTAAGCATGTTGAATGTACCGAGTCAGTGCTAAGAATTCGGTGTTTGGTAAGTTTAAAGTGAACGAATGGACGGACGAGAATAATATTGAGTATTAAAACGCTACGTAAGTTATATATAGGTAGTTCGTAACTTCACTTTACCGTCTAATGCCTATCACTCGCAAAACCTGCAAATAGAATAGGTACCAGGCAAGTACCAACAAATAATTTACACTACTGTGTGTGCAATGGGCTTAATTAAACAAGTACAGTGTTTATATAGTTTAGGGACTAAATCGTGTGATTCATGTGTCATGTACCTACATCCATACAAAAGTTCACAGGCACTTAGGTTACTTAGAATATAGTACGCATAGGTACACGTATATGCGTGTATATGCATGACGTGACTTTAAAAGCAAAGGTTTTTTCCATATACCCGTCGGTTTTATTTCTGTTCAGTATTCGGTCAGTGATCAGGATAGCGGTGGGTACCCATGTGATCGTAGATCGTAGCACACACTGTTATGCATGCAAGTACCTAAGTACTTATGATAGGTACGTTATACACTACCCTCGACATTACTTAGCCAAAGTAAGTAGGTATATTATTATACGTATATAAGTATATACATATAGTCTTTCTTCACGAGTATTATAGCAGAAGAGTCAAGAGAGAGCGATAGCAGAAGGGAAAAATCTAAAAGCGCTTCGTGTGATGTGCATTGTACATGTATACAACAGTGCAGTGATGGATTTTACCTCAGAATCCGTTAACATTTCCATTTTATATAAGTTTGATTACTGTAAGGTATTTTCTGTTTTTCGAAAGTCTCGAACCTTTCTCACTTTGCAATACTCACAGGGTTAAAATAACCATTTTTTATATGTGCACAGGCAGCTCATGTTTTGATTAGTTCTTTGGGATTTTCCACTATTTTTCTCCCCTCTCTCTCTTCCTGACGGTGATGCCTATAGATATATGCATTTAAATTTCTTATAAATTCTATAAACTCCCGTGTTATTTGAAGGGAGACATCAGAAATTACGACTACGTAAACAATGGGGCTTTTGCTTGGTGTATTTTACTCTGCACTATCAGCACTTGAAACTATATTATACAGGCTACTATATTATATCCAGTGAACATCTTGCAGAACCTACCTGGGCATTGTTTGTTTAGTGTATTTGTTAAGTACGCACATTAACGTGCAATACTGATAATTGTATTTTTTTTTTTTTTTTGCATTTTCGTGCTAAATGCATTTATTATATTTCATATTATATGCAGGTGGGCGATCTCGTTCACAAAACTCTATTTTCATCAGCCAGTCAAACCCGATCAAGTGTCATCTCTTCGTGTGGGTCTCACACGCGCAATTTAACCATCTATTCTGTACCTACCGTAATATTCTCTATACGACGCGCATTACAACATGCGCTACTTACTTATATTAGGCAGTGCCTGCAAAAAGCCGTAGCCAGCAAATTGTTACACACACACACATACACACACACACACACGTGCCTAGAGGAGGAGAGTCAGGAGAGTACGAGAGAGCCGAGTCTAGATCAGTGTTGTTGTACCACCGCAGTACAGCTTGCGGCAGCGCCGCTGCTCGATCGTCTCTGCTCTTTCTCCTCGGACTCCGATTCCAATATAAATCTCATCGTCGCATCACCCTCTCATATACATATACTGTATACTTTTTTTTTTTATAGGTGCATAAAAAAACCGGATAGTGCATCATCTCTCGACAAAATAAATCGTCATCACCGTCGTACCACGTACCATCATCAGAAAGAAAGAAAGGAGGGAGGGAAGAAAACAAAAAAAGAAGTTTTTTTTTTTTTTTTGTTTCCCTCGTCCCAGTGAAGGATCAAGAAGAGAGGGAACAAGTATATCAACATCCACCGCCTACTATTAGCTTTTTTGCTGCTCGCTCAGCTGAGAGATTGGCACACACGCACCAACCACCCACCCGCGCTATAAATCCCACACACACGTAAATAGTATCCCCCACCTTATCGGCGTGTAACATCGGGAGTGCGAGAGAGAGATTTTTCATCTCTCATCCTCCCTCTGCTCGTGCTCTCTGGGCTTGATCGGTCGGTGCGCGCGCGGCGCGCGCCGTCGACGAATTTCCGACGGGAAGAGGAGAGGCCGCTGCCCCCCTGGGACACTGCCGCTGCCGAGGAAGAGGAGAACAATCAGAAAACAGCAGCAGCAACGGAAGCTAGAGGAGAAAGAGGAGCATAACTGCACTGCACCTACACATATTCTATTATTATTATTATTATCATTGTCAAACGGTGTGAAGTTCATGCACGTCGACACAACGTCGAATACGAGGAAAACAACGACGAAGACGACGACGACGACGACCGGGACTAAGAGGAAGCAGTTGTTGTCGGTGGCTAGGCAGGAGAAGCCGTCGCAGGTAGTGGTTCAGAGGCAATTGCTCGTGGCAGCTACCAAACGCAGAAGAGGACGACGTAGACGCGAATCTCACGTTGGTCGTTGCAGGGTGAACGAGCTGGGCTCGACTCTGGACTGTGGCATCAGTTTTCGTGGCGGTGGTGCGGGTGGTGGTGTCGGTGACGGTGGTAGTAGTAGTAGTGCCATTCCACGGTTAGACCGGCTCGTCGATGATCGCATCTTCCAGAGATCTGCTGCAGTGAGTACCTAACGTTTTATGCATACCTATACATGTTGGATGTTGTACAAAGATTGGGACTCGCGCGTGGATTGCGCGGAATAGTGCAAGATATCAATTTTATTTTTATACCTGAAATTAAAACACAAAATTACTTTTGTCGTAATAATTGTTTTTTTTTTTTTTTTTTTTTAGATGAGTTGACAAATTTAAAGTGTCCGTAATACGTATCACGAGGCAAAGGAGGCGAGCTTCAAGTGCCGCTTTTATCGATTCGAGCGCGCCGATGCGACCTGTTCTTCTTTTATTGAAAAATTTCGAGATTGATAAGCCGCACACGCAGCCGTAGATCGTAGGGTATACTACACTTGCCACCAAAGTCACGATTAAGTAAACCCGTGAAAACAGCGTGCAGTGCGAGATTTGTTTAAATCGACTGAACGGCGCTCGCGTGGGCTTCCCCTCCACACCCTCCCGCAACACACACACGTATGTACACACGTACACTCTCTATCATATCGCGCATCGATTTCGTAACATGCAAAACATAACGTTATTACGTCAATGGAAACACTGCGGCGTGAGAGCGGATTGTTCGAAAAAGCAACGAAACCAAACAGCCCAGGATCTTCGTTGTCGTCTTTACGTCGGGGTGTGGGTGTGTGAGTGGATTTTCGTCTGTAAGCGTGTGCATCTCTCCTCTCCTATTTTATAGCGACACAGCAAATTTAAGCCGTACAAGTGTCGCTTCTCCCTCCGTTTCGTATCACGCGAGAGAAAAGGAGAGATCAAGAGAGAGAGAGGGGGAGGGAGGTACTGTAAGTATTTAATCGCACGTATATACGCGAGTACATCCATATACCTACACTGTACGTTTACGGGTGTGTATAAAAATATGTGTACGATGTAAGTATAGCCGTACTACGCGGTGATATATTATCTCGGGCGGTACAATAAATTTAGGTTGGTGCCTCGCAAAAAAAAGAAGAAGGTTTTTAATTCGATAAACAATAATTGGGTTAAAACGAAAACACCGCCGGGTGTTTTGTAATATTAGCACCACCAGCTCGAGGAGCGGGAAAGGCCGAGGAAGGAAAATGCCCGGTAAACCGATTATAAAGTGCGAACTAATCGCTTTCGGATGTCTATCCGTATACAAGACGCGTTCGATCGTCGTTTCGTATATACTTATTGTTTCAGTGTACGTATATATACACTTGTTACAATGCTGGTCCGGGTGGTGCATGTACGGCTGCCTCGGTGTAACTAATGACGCCTCTGGAAAACTAGTACGTCTACTTAAGCGCGGAAGAGATCTGATGAAATAATTTTGAGGCGTTTAACTTTGACACCGGAATCATCGTCGCCGTACATTAGTACATAACGTACCCTAACTCTCGTGTCTCTCCGTCCCTCCAAAGACCGGTTCAAACGAGCTTCTCGTTCATCATTTCTCATCTCTTTTTTTTTCTTTCTTCTTCTTGAGTCTCTCAAAAAGCGCGTAAAATTAAACTTTGGATAAATCGGTAGTAAAAACATTATTTTTCATTCGTGCGTGTACCAAATATGACTGGTCGTACCACATCACAACGCCACGTGATCCAAGTTTTTTCATCATCGTGAGAGAATAGAAAAAAAAAAAGAAAAAAACGGATCTCGATCGATCGAGTAAAGGGTGGGACTCAGTGTTGCAGCTTTCGATCATCCCAGAATGAACGCACCATTGACTCTCATCCCTCCCAATCTTAACGAACGAGAAAAAACAAAGACACATGCGAAAGCAGAGTCCAAGTTTCTTGAGCAAACGAGGCTCAAGTCGCGCATGAAATGAGAAGGAGGACCAGTCCACCACAGCGTCCTCGGGGTGTGTGCGCCACCCACCCCCCCATCTTGCCTACCTGTACCCTCCGATCCACCCACCCCCCCCTAAGGCAAATTCTTCGGCTCAACTTGGTATACGTTTCTCGGGAGGAGGGAAACGCCTACGTATACGTACCAAGAGGAGGGGGAGAAGAAAGCTCGAGCTTTTTTTCCCGGGCCTCGCTGCTGAGCAACCGATCTCGGGCTATTAGGCCTCTCGGCGTCTCTCGAGGACAAACGCGACGAGGGAGGAGGGTGAGGAGGAAAAAAAAATTTTTTTTCGACTTCCAAGCTCAATATCGATCCGTGGGGGTAGCCGTGCACAGCTTTCCTCTTGTTCCCTTATACGTATACCACCCACCTAGCGCCTCTTTTTTTTTTTCCTCCGCTGTAGCCGCACTCTCTCTACAGCACGATATACCTTCCAGTTATAGAGAGGATTGACTAAGGGACCTCCTTGTTTGTATACGTATGTATACCTTGAACGCGTGCGCGGGGGGGTTCGCTCCTCTTTGGCACGTCTGACGATGCTCTCTGCTCTCCCTCAAGCAAGAACCGTAAAAGTTTTTACAATTTACCTCCACGCCCGGGGGTCGAAAGTTAAATAAGTCTGCGCCCTTTTCACGTTTACTGCTGGTAGACTCACACCATCCCAAAAGAGTTTAGTATCTTTATTTTTTATTTTTTAAGTGGTAAAAATCGATCCTTCAATGATGATGGATCACGAGTCTTTGTATCGCAACAAGCACGAATGCTGCCAATCACGATAACGCGCTTATTTTTTTTATTTTTATTTTATTATTATTTTTTTTTACTTCATTGTCTGGTGCGGATCAAGTACACATTTCTTCCCCTGCAGTTCCAGATTTATCGATCTATACACGTTAACAACGTCCTATGTACCTTGTAGAGTACTTTTCTCGCTTTTCTCTTTAGCTTAAAAAAGCATATTTATATAAACGCACGTGTTTGTGTGGGACTACAATAATCCAACCACGCCCTCGTTTTTGTACTAGATTGATATCTTTTTTTTTTCCTTCTTTTTATGTAAACACAAGTACTTTTTCATAATAAACACCATACCTTACATATACATACAGTGACTTTTTTTTGTTGGACGAAAATTCGAGGTGTATAATATGGTGTTGTGGTACACTGCAAAATGTTTAATTAATGAGCATAATACGTGTACGGGTTTACCTACCTGACGTGCCGTAAAACGGTATTTTTACCACACGTTCGGCATCTACATATTATACTATAAATAGGGGTGCCATTGTATAAATATTTTATAACCTTATCTTGGAGACTCACCCCAATATATATATATA